GGGCTATCACTACAAGAGAGAATGGAAAGGGACTCCTCGATCTGCGAACGCGGAAGATATACCTCGAAGTCTCTAGAGAATCGCCTCACCTCAAGTGTAGTAGGGCTGAGTCGAAGTACCTGGATATGCACATGAAAAACATGTGTAGGAAAGGGCATGAGTACACCACAGCTGTACCCATTAAATGCCAAGCCTAACCTCGGTCGAGTAGTGACGAGGAAGGTCAGGGCCCTACCGGTCATATACAATAACATATAAGGAAAAGAAGCAGTATTAAAGTAACACAGGGTAATAAGAGTAGCAACAACTACAACAGAGATAAAATAATCACAGAAGGAATACAGCTCAACACAGACATAAAAACCGGGGATCTCCCAGGATACCGTTCCGTAGTCCCCAAATATAAATATCCAGTGGATCTCCCGGGTGTCGTCCCTAGTCCAACTCATAACGCGCAGGGGATCTCCCGAAATACCACATCCGTAGTTCCAAATGTAAATACTCAGTACTGGGGAATCTACCGAGTGCAGTCCCGTAGTTCCAAGGTAAATGTGCAGGGGGATCTCCCGGAATACCACATCCGTAGTCCCAAATATAAATACTCAGTACTGGGGGAATCTACCGGGTGTTGTCCCGTAGTTCCAAGATAAATGTGCAGGGGGATCTCCTGAAATACCACATCCGTAGTCCCAAATAAATAGGCAAAGGGGATCTCCCGGGATATCGCCCATAGTCCCAAAGTAAACACACAGCAGCAACACGAATAATATTAAATTCAATCAAATTTATACCAAGGTAAAACATGTATTTCTAGCCTAGCATGTTGCACAGAATTCAAATAAGGCAGTTTGAGCAAGTAAAGCAGTTAAGTCACTTAAACATGCTTTCCCAAGCTAACAGTAGGCTTAAATTGCAATTAGTAAATACAGGGAAGGAAACACAATTATAGTTACTTAAGGAAAACAGGATTTTCAACAATTAGCACATGTACGCACTCGTCACCTCACGTACAAGACATTGCATATATCACAGTACCAATTCCTAAGGGGAGTTCCCCCACACAAGGTTAGGCAAGCCACTTACCTCAAACTAACTCAATCAACTCAATACCACGTTCTTGCCACGAGTATCCGACTCCAAATGGCCCAAATCTATTCAAAGTAATTTCATAATGTAAATATATTTTCAAGTAACTAATTTAACTAATTAATTCGAAGCTAATACGCGAAATTAGGAAAATCGGCCCAAAAAGCCCCCCCCCCCCTGGGGCCCACGTCTCGAAATCGGGTAAGATTTACAAATTCGGAATCCTCACACTCTCACGAGTTCATGTATACTAAAATTACTCCAATCTGACATCAAAATCTTGATCAAAACTCCAAAATTAGTGCTAAGAACTTTTCCAAATTTTCACCCCAAATTCGAATTTAAAGGATTAATTTAAGCATAGATTCGTGGAAATTAATCAAAACCGAGTAAGAATTACATACCCAAAATAGCCTGAAGAAGTTCTCTACCAAAATCGCCTATCCCGAGCTCCCAAATCAATTTCTAAGGTTTTGAGACTTAAACCTCGATTCTTCCCCTTTTTTGACCAGTGGAACCGCACCTGCGGCCATTTAATTGCACCTGCGGACCCGCACCTGCGGTCCCAGGTGCGCATCTGCGAGATTTCAATAATTGCACTGGGCCGCACCTGCGCTTCTTCCACCGCACCAGCGGTCTCGAAGGTGCGCTCAACCCCTCGCACCTGCGGATTCTGGTCTCCAAGCGCCTGGTCGCATCTGCGGCTCCTCCATCGCTTCTGCGATCACGCACCTGCCGTCCCCAAGCCGTAGGTGCGGTTATGACAGAACTTCAGCAACTGAAGCAACTTCCAAACCTTCCAATTTTCTTCCGTCAACCTTCCGAAATTATCCCGAGGCCCCCGGGACCTCAACCAAAAATACGAACAAGTCATACACCACTATTCAAACTTGTACCAATCCTCGGAACACTCAAAACAACGCCGGAATACCAAATCACCCTCGGATTCAAGCCTAAGGATTTTCAAAACTTCCAATTTTCGTTTTTGATCAAAAAGTCTATCAAACCTCGTTCGAATTACCTGAAATTTTGCACACACGTCCCAAGTGACACAACGGACCTACTCCAACTTTTGGAATTCCATTCCGACCCCGATATCAAAATCTCACTATCGAACCGGAAACTTCAAAAATTCAACTTTCGGCATTTCAAGCCTAATTAAGCTACGGACCTCCAAAACACAATCCGAACATGCCCCTAAGCCCGAAATCAACGGAGCTAACGGAACCAACGGAATTCCATTCTGAGGCCATCTTCACACTGCTCCGACTACGGTCTAAATTCTAAGGCTAAAACTCTCATTTAGGGACTAAGTGTCCCAAAACACTCCAAAACTCAAGTCGAATCCTCCCGACAACTCACAATAGCAGAAACAAACACGGGGAATGTAGTTAATAGGGGAGCGGGGCGTTAATTCTTAAAACGACCGGCCGGGTCGTTACATTCCATGGTGGAAATGAAATTGAGGTCTCAAACAACATCACTAGTGGGGAAGCAAACTTTCCAGGTATATTGGCTTGCTCTACTCATAAAGAAATTATTGGTAACCTTTCATGTAAATGCTTCAAATCATCTGCTGAATATTGGATTTTAGACTCCGGAGCTTCTAATCATATGTCCTATAACAAGGTCCTATTAGCCAACATTAGAATTCTACCTTATCCTTTTCTAGTAACCTTACCAAATGGATACAGAGTTAGAGTGACAGAAATTGGCGATGCAGTCCTCAGTCCTAAGCTGACTTTACATAAAGTGTTGTTTGTCCCTAGTTTTAAGTTCAATTTGATCTCAGTTCATTGTTTAACATCATATCTTAAGTCAGTTGTTCAATTCTCTGATTCCTCCTGCATTTTGCAGGCCCCTTCAATGAAGAGGCCTCTGGAGATTGGTAGAGCAAGGAATGGTCTGCACTTCCTTTGCTCAAAATGCCAGTTTCTTGGTTCAACTACTGTCCCTACTTCTCTCATTTGAAATTCAAACAATGTATGTTTTGTTTCTGCTAGCAATTTAAACAATGCACAATCATACACATCACTCACTGTAAATAATGACCTCTTGAAAACTTGTCGTGGTGATTACCTTTCATCATCATTTATAAATTTTCCTCCTTCAAGCAATAAGAAAGGTTCTTGTACATCTTCTTGTTCTACTAATGTGTGTGCATCCTTTTCTAACTCTTCATCTTATGGAAATAGTGTTGGTTACTTGTGGCATAATAGATTGGGCCATGTACCCTTTGTGAAAATGAGGGGAACATCCTCCATACCTGTAAATTTTGCACCCAAACAACCATTCTTATGCTCAATTTGCCCTATGGCCAGACAAACAAGATTACCATTTCCACAGAAAACCACATCATCCACCAATGCTTTTGAACTATTACACATAGACCTCTGGGGTCCATATCACACCGTAACACATGATAATTACAAATACATTCTTAACATAGTTGATGACTTTAGTAGGTTAACCTGGACATATCTTCTGAGTTGCAAGAGTACTACACTTCAAGTTCTAAAAACCTTTGTGTGTATGATAGAAAACCAGTTTAATTCTTCCATCAAGTCTATGAGGTCTGATAATGGACTGGAGTTTATCAACAATGAAACTTCATCATTCTTTCATTCCAAAGGAATAATACACAAGAAAACATGTCCATACACACCTCAACAAAATATTGTGGTGGAGAGAAACCACAGATATTTGTTGGAAACTGCAAGAGCCCTATTATACCAGTCCAAATTACCTATCAAATATTGGGGAGAATGCATCCTCACATCCACATACTTGATAAACAGACTACCCTCTTCAATCCTGAATAATAAGTCACATTTTGAAATGCTTTACAAGAAGAAACCCAATTATTCACATCTTAAAAGCTTTGGATGCTTATGTTATCCTACTACTCTCAAAACTCATAAAGACAAATTTGAACCCAGAACCGAGCCCCATGTTTTTGTAGGTTACCCTTTTGGCACAAAAGGTTACAAGGTCCTAAACTTGGCCACTAAAAGAATACACATTTCCAGGGATGTACAATTCCATGAACATGTTTTTCCTTTTGTAATGTCTTCTGATCACACACATCTTCCTTGTGTTTTCCCATCCTTTCATTCTGATTCTGCATGTGAAAGTCATAGAAGTGATGTCCTGAGTCATAGTCAGTCACCAACTGAGACTTCACCAAGTTCTGTCACCAACATTCCTCATCAGGTAGTCAAAATGTCTCCTCACTAGTTAATCAAGGCAACTTTTCACCTGTTGATGCAGGTATTTCTGAAATCTCACCTAGTTTTTCAAACACTTTAGAGCATCATGTGACTAATGATACTTTCTCATTCCCAAGCCTTACAAGACCATCCATAACAGTTAAAACACCAAGCTATCAAAATGAATATGTGTATTCCCTTCCAAATCTAAAGAACAATACCTCATACACTGCTTTACTTAATTTGCCTCTTTCAAACTACCAGCATATTTGTTTTAATACTTTAAACAAGGATAGTCAGCATATGATGAGAAATATTTCTCATGAATCTGAACCATGTTCTTATGAGGAAGCAGCCTTAAACCCTGCATGGCAAGCAACCATGACACAAGAGTTTGAGGCTTTGTATGCTAACCATACATGGGATTTAGTGACATTACCTGCAGGGAAGAAAGCTATCGAATGCAGATGGATATATAAAATCAAACACAAGGCAGATAGGATTGTTGAGAGATTCAAGGCAAGACTTGTGGTGAAAGGATACACACAACAAGCAGGAATAGATTATACTGAAACATTCTCTCTAGTTGTCAAAATGACAACTTTTAGGACCCTAATTAGTATAGCAGTAAAAAGAGGCTAGAACCTATTCCAATTACATGTGAATAACGCATTCTTGCATGGAGACCTACATGAGGAAGTATATATGGAGGTACCACAGGGACTGCAAATTGAGGCTCCTGGTCTAGTCTGCAAATTAAATAAGTCCTTGTATGGACTGAAACAAGCAAGCAGACAATGGTATGACAAGCTAACTGAGGCATTGTGCACCAGGGATTTTAGACATTCAGAGAATGATTACTCATTGTTTTGTAAAAAGGATGGCACTTCAATTGTGTTTGTGGCTGTCTATGTTGATGATGTATGTCACGACCCTAAACCCAACCCGATCGTGATGGCACCTCTCGTGAAGACAAGGCCAGACGACTCACTTCCAATTCACTTTAAGCAATTAAAATAATAACTACTAAGTCTTTAATCAGAAATAAAATCCCAAAATAAACATTTAACAGTATGAATTGCGGAAATAAAAGCCAACATAGTCCGACATCGGGGTGTCACCAGTCATGAGCATCTAAAACAATACTAGAAGTCTGAAATCTAATCCATTACTACATAACTGAATCAAAAGAACTAAGATAGAGGGAGAATGCACTGGGCTGCGAATCGCCAAGCAGCCACCTAGTAAATCTCCAAAGACCTGCTGGAACTATCAACCCTCAGGAGAAGCACCTGTAGCGCCCGAATCTGCACACAGGGGTGCAGGGAGTAAAGTGAGTACTCCAACTCAGTGAGTAATAAAAGTAAATGAAGACTGAGTTTATAGAAAATCACGTAAGGCACAACATTAAGCTAAAAGAGGCATAACAAAAATCAGTAAATATAATTAAGCAGTGAAATCTCATAAACATCCTTTAAACAGTCAAACAATATACAGGAAAAACAACAAAAAAAGGTAAACACATAATAACTACCCCTCGGGCACAGTAACAATAGAATCAGCTCCTCGGGCAATATCACAGAACAATACCAGCCCCTCGGGCTATATCTCATATCACAATGGGTACCCACGCTCACTGGGGGTGTACAGACTCCGAGGGCCCTTTACGGCCCAAGCGCAATATCAAGCCATCTCGTGGCATCATAAACAGGCTCTCGACCTCATATCAATCTCAAGCCACCTCGTGGCTTACAATCTCAGGCCCTCGGCCTCATTATCATAATCAGTATATCACTGTTGTGGCGTGCAGCCCGACCCAAAAGTATCCTCACAACACAGGCCCTCGGCCTTACTCAATCAGAATCTCATAAGCCCCTCGGGCATCAGTAAAACATGAAGCTCAGCTCAAAATATCTTCAAAATATTATTTAACGTGTTTAAAACAGAATAACATAGCTGAGTTTTGAAAATAGTGATAATATAGCATGACTGAGCATCAATATGAAATCAACAGTGAGGAAAAATGTCATTTAAAATCCCCTAAGGGTTCAAACAGTTGGCACGAAGCCCAAACATGGAATTTAGCCCAAAATATAATAATATCAAACAATTAGCTACCAAATATACAGAAAAATAGTCATTCGGGATGGACTAAGTCACAATCCCCAACGGTGCAAGACCCCACGCTCGTCATCTAGCATGTGCGTCACCTCAACACAGCCGAACGTTGTGTAATCCGGGGTTTCATACCCTCAGAACAGCATTTAAAATCATTACTCACCTCGAACTAGCCCGAAAAGCTACTCTGCAACACGCTTTCCTCTCAAACCATCTTTCGAGTGCTCCAAATCTACCAAGTTCAGATTTTTATCATCAAATTGTGCTAAACGAATGAATTCCAATTGAAAAATATCAATTTTAAGCACAAAACCCGAAATCAGTTAAAACCCGACCCCCGGGCCCGCGTCCGAGAACTGGACAAACTTCATACCAAAATGTTCTTCATCATCTCACGAGTCCGTACATATAAAGAACTCGAAAATCGGAGTTCGTTTGACCCCTCAAATCATCCCTAGAAGGACTCATAATCTCAAGCCCTAACTCCACCTTTTTCTACTGATTTTCATGAATTAAACACTGATATTTTGTTCCTTAATCACAAATAACCTAGTTTTAGGGTCCAAATTCCTTACCTCAATGAAGAATAATGATTTCCTCTCTTCAAAATCGCCTCAAAGCTCTTTTCCCGTTCAAAAATGGTGTAAAAGGGTTTAATGGTCGCGGAGGGTTTATTTAAATACTGCTCACGCGTCTTACTGTTCACCCGAGTACTGTTCACCCGAGTTACTGTTCACTCGAGTACTATTCACCCGAGTTACTGTTCACCCGAGTTACTGTTCATGCTGCTGTAATAAAAATGCAGCAGCTTTTCTTCTAGTCTAAATTGATCCGTTAACCTTTCGAGATCTACCCGAGGCCCTCGGAAATCTCAACAAATATACCAACACGTCCCATAACATCATTCGAACTTCGTCGAGCCTTCGAAACCCCAAAAACAACATCAAAACACCAAAATCACATCAAATTCAAGCCTATGAACTTTGAAATTCCTAAATTCCACCAACGATGCCGAAACTATCCAAAACAACTCCGATTGACCTGAAATTTTGCAGACATATCCAAAATGACATTATGAACCTGTTCCGACTGTCGGAATTCCATCCCGACCCCGATAGCCTATTTTCCACTGCCGACCGGAAATCGCCAAAAACTAACTTTCGCCAATTCAAGCCTAATTCTACACCGGACATCACAAAAATATTCCGGACACACTCCTAAGTCCCAAATCACCTAACGAATCTATCCGAGCCATAAGATCCGCATTCCGAGGTCGTTTACCAATATGTCAACTCTCGGTTCACTTTTCTAACTCTAAAGCTACTTTTAGAGACTAAGTGTCTCAAACCTTACCAAAACCATTCCGGATTCGATCTGACCAACCCGATACCACATAACACGGATAAACAAAGCATAAAGAAGCAGAAATGGGGAAAAACGGAGCGGTAACTCATGAGACGACCGTCCGGGTCGTCACAATGTAATCCTTACAGGCACAAATGTAGANGAGGTAAACTGAGTGCCCCAATCTGAAATGATGGATACCGGGACACCATGCAACCGAAAAATCTACCCGGATATATATCTCTGCCAACCGCTCTGAAGAGTAAGTAGTACAGATAGGAATGAAGTGCGCGGACTTGGTCAGCCGATCTACAATTACCCAAATAGCATCGAACTGCTTCAAATTCCGTGGGAGTCCAACTACAAAATCCATGGTGATCCGCTCCCACTTCCACTCTGGAATATCCATCCACTGAAGCAAGCCACCTCGTCTCTGATGCTCATATTTCACCTGCTGACAATTGAGACACTGAGCTACAAATCCCACAATGTCTTTCTTCATTCTCCTCCACCAGTAATGTTGTCTCAAATCCTGATACATCTTTGCGGCACCCGGATGAATGGAATACCGCGAGCTATGGGCCTCCTCCAGAATCAAATCCCGAAGCCCATCCACATTGGGCACACAAATCCGGCCCTGCATCCTCAACACCCCATCACGCCGATAGTCACATCTCTAGAATCATCATGCTGAACTCTTTCCTTAAGGACAAGCAAATGAGGATCATCATATCGGCGCTCTCTGATGCGCTCATATAAGGAACACCGAGAATCACACAAGCCAATACCCTGCTGGCCTCCGAAATGTCCAACCTCACGAACTGATTGGCCAAAGCCTGAACATCAACTGCAAGAGGTCTCTCCCCAACTGGAATATACGCCAAACTCCCCATACTTACCGCTTTTCGGCTCAAAGCATCAGCCACCACATTGGCCTTCCCCGGGTGATACAAGATAGTAATGTCATAATCCTTAAGCAACTCCAACCACCTCCGCCGCCTCAGATTGAGATCCTTCTGCTTGAACAAGTGCTGGAGGCTACGATGATCGGTATACACCTCACAAGACACACCATACAAATAATGCCTCCAGATCTTCAACGCGTGAACAATGGCAACCAACTCTAAATCATGAATAGGGTAGTTCTTCTCATGAGGCTTCAACTGACGAGAAGCATAAGCAATAACTCTACCCTCTTGCATCAGAACACACCCAATACCAACTCTCGAAGCATCACAATACACGGTATAAGAACCTGAAGCTGATGGCAATACTAACACTAGAGCTGTGGTCAAGGCAGTCTTGAGCTTTTGGAAGCTCTCCTCACACTCATCAAACCACTGAAATGAAACACCCTTCTAAGTCAACTTGGTCAAGGGCAATGAAATGGACAAAAATCTCTGAACACACCGGCGATAATAACCCGCCAAACCAAGAAAGCTACGAATCTCTATAGCTGAGGACGGTCTGGGCCAACTCTGAACCGCCTCTATCTTCTTCGGGTCCACCTGAATACCCTCACTGGACACCACGTGCCCTAAGAAAGCCACTGAACTGAGCCAGAACTCATATTTGGAGAACTTTGCATAAAGCTTCTCCTCTCTCAATCTATGCAATACCACTCTCAAATGCTCCGCGTGCTCCTCCTGACTACGCGAGTATACCAGAATATCATCAATGAAAACTATGACAAACGAGTCGAGATACGGCCGGAACACACTGTTCATCAAATGCATGAACGCTGCTGGGGCATTGGTCAGCCCGAAAGACATCACCAAGAACTCATAATGACCATATCTGGTCCTGAAAGCGGTCTTAAGAATATCTGCGTTCCTGATCTTCAACTGGTGATAACCTGAGCGGAGATCGATCTTGGCGAATACTCTCGCTCCCTGAAGCTGGTCGAACAAATCGTCGATACGAGGTAAAGGATACTTCTTTTTAATTGTTACCTTGTTCAATTGCCTGTAATCAATGCACATTCTCATCGTGCCATCCTTCTTCTTCACTAAGAGAACCGGCGCACCCCATGGTGACACACTACGACGAATGAACCCCTTATCCAGGAGTTCCTGAAGCTGCTCTTTTAACTCCTTCAACTCCGCTGGTGCCATACGATATGGTGGGACAGAAATGGGCTGCATGCCCGGTACCAGGTCAATACCAAAATCTATATCCCTGTCCGGTGGCATACCCGACAGGTCTGCAGGAAACACATCGGGGAAATCCCTCACAACTGGAACAGAATCAATACTGGGAGTCTCTGCACTAACATCCCTCACAAATGCTAGATATGAAAGACACCATTTCCCAACCATACGCTGGGCCTTCAAGAAAGAAATCACCCTGCTGGGGACATAATCGGTTGAACCTCGCCACTCAATCTGTGGCACACCAGGCATAGCCAAAGTTACTGTCTTGGCATGACAGTCCACAATAGCCCGGCACGGAGATAACCAGTACATGCCCAAAATAACATCGAAATCCACCATACATAACAATAACAGATCCACTCGGGTCTCCAGACCCCCAATAGTCACAACACACGACCGGTACACACGATCTACCATAACTGTATCACCCACCAGCGTAGAGACATGAACGGAAGAAACAAGGGACTCGCAGGGCATATCCAAATAATGGGAAAAATAAGACGACACATAAGAGAAAGTAGAACCAGGGTCAAATAACAAAGAAGCATCCCTACAGTAGACGGAAATAATACCTGTAATCACCGCATCTGAAGCAATCGCATCAGGCCTAGCTGGAAGTGCATAAAAGCGGGCCTGACCACCACCGGATCGACCTCCCCCTCTGGGACGACCCCTAGATGACTGTCCTCCACCTTTAGCTGGCTGGATGGGAGGTGAAGTGGCTGGGGCTGAGGCTGATCACTGACCCCTATGCTGAGATGAACCCCCAAGACGACGAGGACACTGCCTCCATATGTCGACCC